AACAAAGTCTGTAGAGTAACAAAGACTGTGGCAAAAGTCCCAGAGCTACTACTTATAAGCTGTGGGGGCCTTGGGAAAATTACTTGACCCTTCTAAGCCTTAGTTTTATTTATCATCTGTAAAATGAGACTAGCTCACTTATCTCAGAAGTTAATTTTTAGCACATGAGAATATATCTAAAGCACTTAGGACAGGGCACAAGTAACTAACTACTACTTGTTACTAATTCTCTTATTACTATTCCTAAGATGCCTAATTACTGCTTCCTTCCTTCATAACTAGCATACAAATTTATGTTTAGATATCCGGATTCCATGCAAACTCAATTCTGTCAACACAAAACAGATTTTCTAAAAAGTCCCTTTAATTCATTCCTAACTTTCTAATGTTCATGCTAGTAGTAAGTGGAACCTAGAGCAATGATGTCATCTTTTCGAGCAGTCCAGAGCCACATTTTGACTTGGTTATGTTACCTAACACCCACTTCAAAATGGATAAAGCGCTCAAAGCAAATTTTAAGGGAATGAAAGAAAATGTCATAATGAATTGCCTCTTCCCACTCTCAGCTGTTATAGGAGATATTATCACCCTAAATGCAAGTAATCTTTCAGGCCTAAGAATGATGACACATACCATGGAGCAGATTTTCGCTCCATTAAATTAAAATCCTTTCAATAATGTGATGCATGGCCCATCTTTCACAGTTCTGATTGAATCATTGGAAAACAGACTGTTTCCATGCTAAAGTAGTGCTTTTGCATTTATAATATACTAATGGCTTTATATGCAAAAATTATAGCTTGTGCTAAAATTTCACTTCCAATGAATGGTTTCAAGAGGTTCAGTAGAGAAAATAGTAGCAGGCCTACTTAAGTAGTGACTTATGAATATGCCAGGGGAAGCTAAAGATTGAAATGGTTTCAGAAGAAAATGATGCTTAATGGCTACAATGAAGCCTTGTGAAGAGAAATAAAACTGCTGACTAAGTAACCCAAAGCAGGGTGAGTAGCTATGAGTTCCAACAAGCAAACAGCTAAAATTCTACTCCCTGTGATGCTATAAACTACACTTTTTTTTTTTTTTTTTTTTTTTTTTTCATAAATTTCCAACAAGCAAACAGCTAAAATTCTACTCCCTGTGATGCTATAAACTACACTTTTTTTTTTTTTTTTTTTTGCCATAAATTCTTATTGCTTGGTTTCTAAGTTAAAATTCTTATTGTTCGGTTTCTAAATCTTTAGGAGAAAGATAGCTACTTGAGTCACAGTACAAATTACAGAGCTTTCAGAATTTGGTAGATGAAAATATGAGTCAAGGACAAGTGGGGAAAAAAAGAACAGCCCAGTCCTACATTAGAAAGATTGCGTATTTAAAACTAAGGTGCAAGGCTGTTCATTTTAAACGACAGGAGGAAACTACTTTCAAACAGAATCACTAAAGACTAAATCCACTTATATATTAAAGACCTTATCCTTTTAAACTAAAAATATAAACATAAAATATTTTGAACATGCTGAAAGAATACTCCTAAATTTATGAAAACTTCTAAAATTGACACATTTAAAAATATGTAATATATGTCAAATATAGAATTATGTAGGGAGTTTTCTTTTCACATGTAAATTTCTTTCAGGTATGTTCCTCATTTATAATTTTGTGTCAAAAGTTTTTTCACCTTTTTCTATCTTCATGAAGTAAACCTTATTCCTAGACCCTCACGTTAGTATTTCAAATATTCTTTAGGGACATACAGTTTTTCTCCATATACTTTAATAGAAATAACAAAATTATGAGTGATAGCTTCACAGGAAACATAATTACATTTGCCCAAAGTAAAACCTTATGCTAGAAGAACTAAAAATTGTCATTATAGTAGGTAATATACTCAATTAGAAAAAAAAATACAATTTCAAAACCAATAATGCGTTTGGGTAGAGCAATTAGAATAAAATAATTCATGCAGGATTAATAATGTATTTAGTTTTTAAAGTAAAATTTTAGTAATCATTGGAAAATAAATGAACAAGATGAAAGCCCTATCATTAAGCAAGGAACCCGATTTGTAAGCAGGGAAAAATTACACATTAAAATTCCATTTTTCAAACAGGAAAGTGTAATTTTATTCTCATGTCTTACCAACACACACAGAGCCAGTTGATCTCTCTGATTTAACTCCCCATTCCCATTCTCTCATTTTTCAGAATAGGAAAGTGCAGTCCAAACTGCCGACTAATAGTCTCAGGTTGAACTAGGTAATGCCATATTCAAGATCCAAATGCAAGTATCCCACCGTGCAGTATGACGCTCTTTCCGTCAAACATTACGCCAAACATTAAAACTTGCCATTTAAGAAAAATATGTCTTCTAGGCACAAATCAGGTCCATGGCAGCCCGGTGTATCACTGATTTGAGCACTGGTATTGTGTCTTATGTATGCCATTGTTATAAACATGCCCATTCCAATGTGAAATTTTCTCTAATACACAAATACTTATATGTGGCTAAATAATAATTTTACTGATAAAAATACCAAGATACTACTCATATATGGAACAAGCAGCATTTACATTAAAGTTGTGTAGACAGATTATTTTAGTTATTTCCTTGTGCTTTTTTCAGGCCACATATTTTCAACCTCCAATATTGAAGGAATGTCATCTTGTGAAAATAATCCTTATTTTATATAAAATAGCAACTCTTAACTTGTTTTTAAAAGGACCTAATATCTATTTTAGTTACAGGGGTACTGACTTCAAAAACAGCAGTACGTAAAATTCTTGTAGTTCCTCTCACACCTACTTCAGTTCAAAATTGCTGTTCGACTGTGCAGCAAGAAAACCACAGCAAACTAATTATTTAAAAGATCAAAAATAAGTGGAAATAGAAACATGTAAAACAATTTATATATAATATACTACCTTTCATGTAACAAAGGAAGAAAATAAGAATATGTATTTCTCTTCATTTGTATTTACATAAAGACACTGTTAGGATAAATTAATAATAAAAATATTTACCTATAGAGTGGAGATATAAATAAGAATAAGAGGTATGGGCAGAAGCAAGACTCAATGTTAACATTTTTACGATCTTGATTTTGGGACAATGTGAATCTCTTATTCATTTCAAAAATTTAAATGTAAAAAATCAGAGGTACAAAATATTCAGTGACAGAATATCCATAGTTAAGTATGATTTAATTATAATCTTCTTGAGGACAGAGGAACCCGTGTACTTTAAGCATTCTATCTTCATAACCTAGGGCAGAGCCTAGCACACATTGTGTGTAATAAATGTAGGATTAGTCATTTTGAAATTGTTTCTAAAGGATGCAGAAATAATATTCCACAACCTAGATACAGTAGTAACTTCCACACATGGGAAGAAAAGGGTTGAAAGGGAAGACAAAAAAGAGAGGGGAAACATTTTTTATGTAAAGTCTTCATATTTACTTTATTACTATCTACAATTAAAAATAAAGGACAAAATGTTCTTATGCTCAATCTTCCCCTGGATAAATGCTTGAAGTAGACTATAAGCTGAAACATGAGAAGCTACTGACACTCTTAATATTATTAAAAATTTTAGTTAACAAATTATTAATGCCAATTTTCCATTTAAAGTACCATACAGAAAGCAGCAATGCAGGAAATTCTTAGTTCTCTCAATAACAAATACCCAACAACTACAACCAGTATATTTCAGGTTCATTAGTCCTTCCTGTTTCTGGAATGTTTTTCTTACCATTCATTTCTATCCCTGAAGCTATCTTCAATATCTTTTTCCTATTCATCAAATGTTACTGTGAAGCCGCATCAAATCTTAAAGAAATAAGAACTGCTGCTCTATTAAAAAAAAGTTTGCTGGGCCATTAAATAGTTACAGGGTTAAATAGGAGTCAAAAACTACAAGAATCCTTCTCAGGATACAGTTAATAATGTCCTCATCCAAAGACCTAAAGGTTTCTTAATACGAAACTTAACGGTAGAGCAGTGATTCTTGGGTTTGATACTGCATCACCCTGAAATTATTCACTGTCTCAAGGGCATACTGCAGAAACTTCTTTAAAAGTGTAAATCTGTTTTAATTCATTAAATGACTCATTTATCTAGCAAAATGTTCACTTTTATGGGAATTAAGTAGTGTGAAAAGACACTGATATCATGAGTAATCAGAATGGAGTAACCCCTTTCAAGAATAACAGAAAACTGCCAAGTTTAAGGCCAACAGGGCACTTACTTGTATAGAAGCATTCCCTCTTACAAAGTTCCCTTTTTAAATTATATCACTCTGATAGCGTTGAAAATTTTTAAATATTTAAAATGTGTGTGTGTGTGTGTGTGTATGTGTGTGTGTGTGTGTGTGTGTGTAAAGTTTAATCTTATATCCATTACCAAGTAGTTGCTATAGAAAAAAATGTATTAAATTGAAGCTCAACACAACATTAATGCCACTCAAATGGGTGAATAGTGAAACAAACTGTGGTACATCCCCACCTTGGAATACTGCTCAGTAACAGAAAGAATGAAGTATTGATACAACAACTTGAATGAACAGACAGAATATCAGAATATCATGCTGAGTGAAAAAAGCTGATCCCAAAAGGCTACATACTACATAGTCTCATTTACGTAACATTCCTGAAATTAAAAATTATAAAAATGGAGCACAAGAGATCTCTCTGTATTACTTCTTATAACTATATGTGCAACTAAAATTATTTCAAAATTAAAACTTTAATTTAAAAAAATCACTAATATTATTTGGGTCACCTCACCAAAAGCAGATTTAGGTGACAATCTCAGAAACCAGTCAGTATACAAAGCCTTTACCAGCCAAAAGAAGAAAGAATTAGATAAAATGACAAAATAGCAACAAAAAAAGAAGTGTTAGAGACATTAAAGTAATATGGTTATTAATGAATATCTAATGAACATTTAGTTATGTTTAGGGACATATTATATTTCACTCAGTATTAATTCATGATGGAAAAGGCTTACCCGATGCTTTGCCTTAATTTTCTTCCTATATGCTTCCTTGTCAAATTTGTCCTCTTCTTGAAGCCTTTCCTTTGCTTTATCTAAGTTGATACCACCAGTGTCATCCTCTTCCTCAGTATCCTTCAAGACAGATTTCTGCATTTGTGGCCACTGCTGAATTTTTTTTTGGAAAAGGTTAAGTATGGGACAGGAGACAGCAAACATCAACAGAATACCATTTCCTTTTGTATAACAATTTTGAAATGCTGCGTATAGACACTTTGTGCCTTACTACCTACATTTCTTAAACTTTCTAACAAAGTTTATAATTAAAATGAGCAAGCCACAGAAAAGACTGTCCCAATTAGGGTAAATAATGCTGCTGTAACCCAGTGAGAGCAGTATTAAAGGAAAATTTCATTAAATAATTTGGAGAAGGTAGTTGCCTCAAAATCATTTTAAACACTGTTCTTAGTATGCCATATTTCACCAACGTGGGTCCACAACGACCTGCAGAGGGCCATAGCCAGGCTGACCACAGTGCCCCCACGCCAGCTGCCATGGCACCTTGTATGTACTTCCAACGCTTTCCTTACTATACTGGGTTGTTTTACTTTTCTGGTTTTCTTACTAGAATTAATCTCCTTGAGGGCAGTCATATGTCTTTTTATGTATTCTCAGAGCCCAACACAGTACATGGCACACATTAGGTGCTCAAAATTGATCGATGGATCATGTATCAACTATTATAACACATAAAGACTGAAATAACTAAGAGTAAAGGAGAGAATTTGAGTTTCACAGGTCTGCTCAGTTCTAAATGATTTTACGCATATAATTTATAGTTAGGAACAAGGTGACACAGAAGTCAGGGCACTGATCTTGGAGCCAGGAGACATGGCTTAATGCCCTGGCTTTCTCATCAGGCCACGGCATGATCCTGAATAAATTACTTAATCTCTGGCACCTGTGTCCTTGTCTGATAAATAAGGTTTGTTTGACTAAATAATCTTCTAGGCCTAACACAGTTAAATTCTATAGACAATTTAGACAAAATGATTCTTATTTTACCTAATAAGTGATTACCAGTAGGATTTAAGTAGCTGCCACTATTTTTGAAAGACTGCTACTTAACCGGCAGGCAAATGGAAGCTGTAGGCACACTTATCGCAGGTATTAATGTCTCCCCTCACTCTTGTCACCACCATAGTCATTCTTTAGGATGAGATCCCTACAGAGTCTCAACTTTGGCAATGATTGGGGGTCACAAATATACTACATAAGCAGCCATGCAAGCAGTCACTGACACTAATGAAGAAGCAGTGAGATCAGCTGTGACAGTAAGAATGCCATCCATTGCTCTGACTTGTCACCTCTTTTTCTATCAGAGGAAAAAATAAGTCCATCTCTCTGTGGGCTGAACAAATAGTAGCATTTCTTTGGGAGTTTTAGATCAGAAGTTTCAATGTGGCTCACAGTCACACAGAGTCCTATCAGCAATAAGCTTACACTGAAATATTTCATAGTTAAAGATTTACATTCACCTTGCAGGTAATTGGTATAACCTGTGCAGTTAAACTTAGTAGCACAGTAAGGAACCTCATTATCCTAACAGCATTAATCGTGTTTTACAGTAAGCATCTGATATAATACAACTATATTCTAGATTTAGACTGCTTCTCAGGTGCTAACCTCTTTTTAGTAATTTCATAAAGATTCATTAATTATCAATTACATAGGCTTCCTCTGCAACTACTAACAACATTAAACTGTACTTTATTTTGTAAGTTTTCATATGATTTATACACCATTTCACTCCATATTATTAGTGCAAATCTGGGCTTCTGAAGAAAAGCAGCCTTCTCCAAATCTAATGTGATACATTAGAGCTGGTATAAAAAGTTCTTTTATTTTGTTGGGGTATTAGACAATGGTTCATTCATGCAATAAACTTTCTCTAAGGGTTAACTGTATGTTAGGCACTGTTCTGAGTACTAAAGACAGAGTAGTGAGCAAAGTCAGGTCAACAAATGCCTTCCCTCATGTAGCCAGTCTCATTCTGTTGGAGTGGAAGAAATGTACAACAACCAAATATAGAATAAACTATATAGTAAGTGCTATGGGGAAAAAAGGACAGAGAAAAGGAAATGGGATTGTGGTAGGTGTGGAGTGCTGTGTGATGTATCAGGATGAACAGGGAAACACATAGGTTGGTGAGAATAAAACTGAGATATGATATTCAGTATGACCACTAACTACTAACCATTACTCTTTAGGTAAGTCACTTGATTTTCTAGATGTTCTTCCTCTTTGAAAACAAAGATAATATTAATATGTAATAGAGTGACCTTTCATTAGCTATCTGTGAGTGGTAACCCCTTCCCTACTCTATGGGTATATATTTACACTAAGACCAAAGTAATGGTGAGATGAAAACCAAGCACCTATGTGTCTGAGATTATTTTAAAACAGAGAATTCCTTCTCATAGCAGGCCAGTACGTAAGAAACATGCCAATACAGCATCTAAAATTGAGGAACTGCAAAGCAGAGACTTGAGTCCAGCAAAAGAAGCTATGGTAAGTAGTTGTGTTATTATTCTTGCGCCTTTTCCCATAGAACATGTCAATGAATACTGTGAGGGGAAAAAAAATTAATAATTAAAAGTGGAATTTAGGAAGTTCAAAATCAACTCTATTGTTATCATCAATAAGTATCTCAGTTTACTGACAATAAAACATTCTTGCCTATAGGTATATAGCTGATGAAATGTCTACAGTAACAGGAAATGCCTACTGTGCTTTAGAGAAACATTCTTTTTTTCTCATCAGTGAATGGGCAGTTAGCAGGAGAGTTAAACTCTTTATAAGACTTGGAATGTACAGTAAGTCCTCACTTAACACCATTGATACATTCTCTGTAACATCAAGTGAAACAACCTATAAAGAACCCAATTTTACCCTAGGCTAATTGATATAAACAAGAGTTAAGTTCCTACATCATCTCACTAACATTATAATGAAAGGACATTATTTGAGGACCTGCTATAACCCGGAAATGAAGCACTTAAGAATCTTACCTCCCCTTCATCAGTAAATGTTATCTTCTTATTCACTTTAAAATTTCTCTTCATTACTTTTTTTGCTTCTGCAACCTTGGTCACTTTTTTCTTGACACTGGATTTAGAAGCTTCTTTTTTCTATGTGAGAATATACAAAAAGAACAGATGATGAAGTAAATGGCTGCTTTACATTAACAATTTAACTCTGGTAATATATTTTCCAAAACTGAGTGCCTTTACTGCTCATTGGCTAATGAGAAGCACCAAAAATACTGTCTAGAAATGAAATTATTAGACTTATTAATTAAGCATGAATAAGACAAATGTTAGACATAAATAACCTTTGAAATCTATTCTATTACGAAAACTATGCTAATCTGATAATGATGAAGCGCCAGAAACTATATGGTAATGTGATAAATGGACATTTTATGTAAATAAAAGTATCTTCCAACTAAAAAATAGAGCACATTTTTAAAACAACTCTAATTTCCAAGTGCAAACAAACTTTTAGGCTAGAAAAACGTTTACTTCAAAAGCAACGACTAAAATAAATTGTTTACGACTCAAGATTCTTCTTCTCGTTATAGTAATTTACCAAATGAACACTGGAAAACATCCTGTGATAACTATGCTGCATGCAAAAGTGAGATGGAGTAAGAGTACTTTAACAGGGATACACTGGTAAGCACCTAGCAAATGTCAGAAAACCATTAGAGCAAGATATTAAAAATACAAAGCCACTGCTTACTTATGCTAAATGAGTGCTGAGTGAACCATCTGAGATAGGAAGATGCAGGTCATACCATAGCCTACTTTGATGCATAACAAGAATTAACACCTTTGGGAAGAATATGGATTATCTTCCTCAAATTCAAGCCAGTAGTACCAGTGGTGGTACTTAGTAAACTAATATAAGACAGACTCCATTAGATGAATAGACAGAGTGAGCAGAAGTCTTTGGCACAGTAGATAAGAAAATGGCTTTGAATTCAAGCTCTGCCACTTATGAGCTGTGAAAGAAGAGCAAGTTACTTAACCTTTGTGCTTTAGTTGTAAATTGAGGTTAACAGTACCTATCTCGTAGGGTTGCTAGGAAGAGGTTGGTAATAAATGTAAAATATACAAAATATAAGGGTTAGATAAACCTCAAATAACCACTATTACATATTGATTTCATGCTACCTAAAGAAACTGTGCCAACCGCACAGACTCTTCTTAATATACAAAATCCTAGACTTCGAGCTTTCTAGTTGATTGGTTTTTAAACTCTGTACCATAGGGAACCAGCCAAGGAAAAGTAAGAAAAGAGGGACTGATCTAAGAAACAAAAATTATCAGAAGCGTTGAGAAGATGTACATTAGTTACAACTGTTACATTATGGTAATAAATGTGCACAAAAAGAACAATTCATTTAATAAAGTAAATATTATTAACAATATAAATACAAAAATGCTTAAAAATAAAACACCATAAAATCAAAACAAACTTAGTAAAATAGGTTTGCGACAAGTTATTAATAAATATTTCTAGATAATGAAAATATTTATGAAAATCAGCTAGAGCATATGCAATAATGTTATGACTTAAGTACAAGAAAGTCTTGACACTGATGGTTCTGTTATGTGAGTATTACTAACACTGCTTTTGTATTTCTGGTTCTTACTATATGCAAACCATAGTATCAGACCACAAATCAATTAGTACTTAAGAATCTACAAGGATTCTAAATCCATAAAATGTTTACAAAAAGAATAATCTCCTCTGAGGTAACTCCTTTTTATTACATCAGACAGAGACATCAATATGCTACAATCACTATATCTGACAAGATTTCTAAAAAAGAGAGGTTTTGCATTTCTTCTTCCCATTGGACACCCTATCTCCTCCACGCCCCAGTGACTGCATGAATGTTACCATCTGGTGGCATAATGCCCTAAACTGGTGTGCCCATCCCGCACAAACCCCTCCCCAATACTGTGCTCTAAGATACATTACTATTATTCTCCCTCAGGTAATATTACAGTATTTCTTCATTTCCTTATCTCACTTTTGAGAGTAAATGAGTCAACTATGTGATGGTAAAACTCCTAAATTGAAAGGGAACAGGATGGCAGGAAGCTCATTACTGAAATAAGTTGCTATCTGTATGACACCATGTAAACCCAGGGCATTAATAAGAGCCCCTCCTCCACTTCCTCCCAATCATAACTTCTACAACTTTCTCTCCACAAACTTATCAAAGACCACCACCAACAGACCGCCAGGCTTGTCGACTTTGTTATTGACTCCTCTGGGATCTTCTGGTTTTTATGGTTAGGTCAGTTCTTAAGGATCTTGGGCTGGCTGATATTCTGTCATTATATCTCTATTAATGATACAGAGAATGCTGATCAAACTTAAGAGGCTCATTTTAATATAAAAATAACAAACAAAAGTTGTAATCACTTAAAAATAAAAATTCCTAGGAAAGTTTGCAAAAGGAGCAAACTATCTGAGGGTGATGGTGATGCTCTAAATCCTGACAAGAGTTTGAGTTACACGGGTGCACACATTTGTCAAAACTTATCTAGTGTTACATTTAAATTGGTGCATTTTGTTCTACATAAATTTCTACCTCAAAAAAGAATTCTATAAGCAAATATTGAACTTTAGTTAATGTCAGGCAAACTGAAGTATGTAAGAGAAAGTATATGATGTTGCCAACTTACTCTGAAATGTGCTAAATAAGAAAGGATGATGGATGAGTAGATGGAGAATTGCATGATAAAGGTAATATGGTAAAGGGTTAATTATAGAATATGAGTGGTGGCTATTTTGGTGTCCAAAAGTATATTTTTTTACTTTTCTGTATGTTTGAAATTTTTTGTAATAAAATATAAAACCCCAGTCCCAGGAATGAGAGAAATAACGGGAAGAAAAGATGCCAGAAACTGTCAGAACAGAACACAGGTCAGTCAGGAAAACAATCGTGCAGAGTGGAATCTTGGAGTAATGAGGGTCAACTGGAAGAGCTTTAGGAAAATCCATGAAACCACTGAAATTATGCAACAAAATTTGGGAGTATTTGCATCATTGCATATTTATGGTTTATAATGGTTTCTAAAAGGGATCTATGATCTCTCCCTCAAAAAAAAGTTAATTTTTTTTTGTTTGTTTGGGGGAAGCCACTGAAAGAATGAACAGAAATGCCGACATGGGTGAAAAAAAACCACATTTTTATTATATTTTTCCCACAGGCATGGCTTTGTTCTGATATTCTAGAGTTATTCTTCACTCAAATATGCACTGTCATCAAGACGCAAGATATCATAGTATATACTGGGGCCCCAGCAGTGAAAAAGACAGGAAGACCACCGACTCACTGAGCCTAACCCTATCAGTGGAAAAATAAAATTCAACCAGTGAAAAATATTATTCAATCACAAGTGTAGTAATGCACAGAAAAAAATACACAGTATGAATGAATCAATGTAATAGGGTGTGCCTTTAGAAGAAGTCAAAGAAAACTTCCTTTTGAGGGACAGATGTTTGAACTGATCAGAAAACAACCAAACACTGCTGCATACTGGCTCATCAGTGATAACAAGTACCTTCTGTATGTCCACTGATGGCGTATTTCACATATGGCTTAGTTCAATGTCATTCTTTTGAGTATTATTTCTAGCAGGTAATACACGTTCCTTTATTTTGTAAAGGATATTCAGTTTAAAAATTGCCATTCACATCCTCTTCACCCACCTCAGCTTACCTCCCAAGAAGCAAGCAAGCACTGTTACTAGCTTTTCCTGTATCCTTCCAGAGACTTCCTACCCATTCAAGAACACCAAATTACTAAAAGAGCTGTCCCTGCAATGAATAGCCTTGTTTATACACCTTCATATACATGTGCATATATATATCTAGGATACATTTCTATAATTGAAGTGCTCACAGTATGTGCATTTAAATTTCAAAAAATATTTCCAAGTAACCCTCCACAGAAGTTATACAAATTTATACTCCCACCAAAAATCTGAGAGTCACCAATTCTCCACATCTATTCAAACAAAATTAATTAGGCTTTATGTTTGCCAGTCGACTAGGTGAAAAAAATTTCATCTCAGGAAGTTTTAATTTGCATTTGTATTATTTTAAGCAGAGCAGAACATCTTTACAAAGGCATTTTTCCTGTGCACTATATACATTCTTTATCAGTATTTTTATTGATTCCTGGCATTTCATTTATTGATTTGTGGGATCTCTTCGTTTGTTTAAGATGCGTTAACATTTTCTCCCACTTCATCACTTATGTTTAGACTTTGCCATATGGAGAAATATTTTGTTATTTATTTTTTATTTTTTTGCCAAGTGTATATTTTTAATTGTTATACAATAAATTTTTTAAAATAAAATTGTCTGGGTTTGTGCCATACTTCGAAATACCCTTCCAACTGAAAGACTTAAAAAAAAATAAATTTAACTTAAATTAAATCTGCAATTAAAATGCAGATTTTACTTTTCTTAAAAGTTTCAACATTGGCTCTTGGACAAGGGGGAAAGTGCTCATTAATAATTTTAAATTTCTGTTCATTAGGTCACAAAAAATATAAAGTATATCTATTGTTAGAGAAGAGTTCTAGTGTGACTATAAGACTTTATATTATTGGTACGAAGATGAAATTTGCAGCAGCCAGATAGTATTAAAGATTTTCTTACAAGATGTAAAACATCAAAATGCAATTTTCATTTCTATTTGCACTTCTTCCTCAGCATGTATGCTAGACTTCAAAATAAAATGCCAAAAGGAAAATATCATAAAATACAAAACTGATAAAGCATCAAGTCATTCTCAAAGTCCTGTGATAGCTGTAGGAGGTTGCCACAAATAACTTGGAAGATAAAAGAACAGCAAATTAAGATGTACAAATTGGTAGTTACGAAACAGTCACATGGATGTAAAGTACAGCATAGGAAATATAGTCAAATAATATAGTAATGGCTATGTATAGTGCCAGGTGGATACTAGACTAATTGGGGGATCACTTCATAAATTATATAAATGTCTAACGACTGTGCTGTACACTTGAAACTAATATAACATATTAAAAACAACAACAACAAGAACCATCACATAAACAATAATGGTTCCTACTAA